GGTGAGTCTGCAACTGCTTTTGAAACAATGCAAGAAGAAAAATACAAGGTCTTTACTCCTTTGCTCCTCATCACCAACCCCTGAGGGCAAGCCTTCATCTGTAGAATCCTCTGGATGCCCCATGGGCGTTCCTGGTGGCTCAGGTGGTAAAGAATCAACCTCCCATGCGTAAGACCTGGGTTCAACTGAGCTGGGTTCAACTGATCTGGGTTCGACCGACCTGGGTTCCATCTCTGGGTTGGGAAGGTCCCCTGGAGGAGGGCATGGCAACCCACTCCAGTATTCTTGCCTGGAGAATCCCCAATAACAGAGGAGCCTGGCGGGCTAGTCCATGTGGTCGCAAAGAGTCGGACAAGACTGAGTGACTAAGCAGAGCACAGATTCCTCATGGAAGTGGGGCATTTTTGAGGCACGTGCTTGCTGTGCCCCTTCTGCCAGCGGAGGATTAACTTCACCTTTCTAGTTCCCCCCAGACTCTTGTCTCTGTATTTTTTATTAGGCCTCAGGAGTCAGAGAAAGCCAAGATCTGTGGCATCAGGCTTTTCTCTAGTTGTGGTGAGCGGGGAGGCTGCTCTTCTTTGCAGTGCCTGGGCTTCCCATTGTGGTAGCTTCTCTTCTTGCAGAGCACCGGCTCTAGATGTGAGGGCTTCAATAGTAGCAGCACATGGGCTCAGCAGTTGCGGCTCGTGGGCCCCTACAACACGGGTTCAGTGGTTGTGACACAGGCTTAGCTGTTCCTCGGCACGTGCAATTTTCCTGGACCAGAGGTCCAATCTGTGTTCCCTGAATTGGCATGTGGATTCTTATCCACTGCGCCACCAGGTAAGTTCCTCCTGCAGCAACATTTTGATGTATTTCTATTTTCTTGTAGGCCTTTTTCCTGTCACAAGGTAGATTCCAGCCTCCTTTCCTTTCCTCCAGGATGGCCCCGGGTGAGCATATATCCCTCACAATTTAGATGTAAACATTATACACAGATAAATTTACTTTTTAAAAAATATTATATCATTATCTTCTCATTGTTTTTAAAAATTATTCCAAAAAGATATTTTACAGATGTGACTTCATCCTTTCTTTCTATTGGACATATACCTTATTTCATTTTTTTATTCTTGTAAGTAACACTGCAGTAAACAACTTTGCACATATATTTTCATGCAAGTCTCTATTTTTTTGGAAGGAAAGTTATGACTAACCTAGATAGCATATTAGAAAGTAGAGACATTACTTTGACAACTAAGGTCCGTCTGGTCAAGGCTATGTTTTTCCAGTGTTAATGTATGGATGTGAGAGTTGGACTGTGAAGAAAGCTAAGCGCCGAAAAATTGATGCTTTTGAACTGTGGTGTTGGAGAAGACTCTTGAGAGTCCCTTGGACTGCAAGGAGATCCAACCAGTCCATCCTAAAGGAGATCAGTCCTGGGTGTTCATTGGAAGGACTGATGCTGAAGCTGAAACTCCAATACTTTGGCCACCTCATGCAAAGAGTTGACTCACTGGAAAAGATCCTGATGCTGGGAGGGATTGGGGGCAGGAGAAAGGGATGACAGAGGATGAGATGGCTGGATGGTATCACCGACTCAATGGACATGAGTTTGAGTAAACTCTGGGAGTTGGTGATGGACAGGGAGGCCTGGCATGCTGCGATTCATGGGGTTGCAAAGAGTCAGACACGACTGAACGACTGAACTGAACTGAACTATTTTTTAAAGGATAGCTTTCCAAGTAATGGTAGATATGCAGTTGCCTCATTTATAAAATGGAAGATTAAAATACCTGCTTAATGGAGTCATTAGGAAAATTAAATGAGATGATGCTTATAAACTGCTAAATAAAGTGCTTAGTGAATAGTAGGAATTCAGTAAATATTTAACTTCATTATTTTTCTACCTTTTAAAGGCTAAACATATAGCAAATACATTTCACACAAAACTTTCAATTTACAACTCTAACTCATTTCATTGCATCCCTATTAAGTCTAACTTCTTAAAACTTTTTTTCCTTTTATTTTATTTTTTTTAATTTTTTTTCCATTTATTTTTATTAGTTGGAGGCTAATTACTTTACATCATCACAGTGGTTTTTGTCATATATTGAAATGAATTAGCCATGGATTTACATGTATTCCCCATCCCGGTCCCCCCTCCCACCTCCCTCTCCACCCGATCCCTCTGG